AAAATAATTCACTAGCTAGAAAGCTCAATTGTTTTTCTGGTAAAGAGTCACCATACTAAATATTGTTGATAGGAAACTAAGCTAAGTACCTAAAAATTGTATGCTTAATACGGCTCCTTTTAATGACATAAAATATTATCCAAATATAATTAGGGGAATTAGCAAGCTTTTACAGCTGGGAGGGTCCACACAAAGCACAAGGGCTGCCACCCTCATTCTTCCAGATGATGTAACTAAGCACTGACAGGCAAGTCCCAAGTTAGCCAGATACAGACAAGAACCCAGGTCTGACTTCAACTTTTGTCCTCACCACAAAACACTGTTAATGAAGTTCATTTTATGACTAGGCTTTTCCTGTAAGGTTGGGTTCTTGAAGTTACACCCCTCATTTTGTGTATTCCCCTTTTTGCTAGGTCAAACATTAAATACACTCGAGGCCACACAGTTGGGAAATCTTGGTGACTAAAAGACCATCTTTGTCACAGCCCCGATAATAAGCGACCACCCTGAGTCGCCTCCATTTCAGATTCTCTATTTTCTCTGGAACATTATCTTCTTTAAAATCAAGTCATTTTATCAAATGCTAACTGTCTTTAACAGTATACTACCACAAAGTCTGTTTTTAAAAAGGACTTTTTATGTATTTGCTATTATAAAGCTCTACCTACAAAACAAGTACTAATGAGACGAGAAAGAAGAATTTGCCTTGAAAGAGTTAAGACTACTCCTGTTTGCTATCTTCATTCATGATAAGGGAGAAAAATTAAAACAAATGTCTCCCCATGAAGTTCACTTATTGGTTCAGGGGAACTTGTAATGTTACAAGAATGCTTTTTCTAAGACAGTCTTAAACAGCTGCAACTAAAAGGCTGGCGGCACAAACTCACCTAGCGGCTCAGCAGAAGGATCGGAGACCCTCAAAGATGACAGCTTAGGAAATCACAAGCAGCCATGTTCTGTCATATCATTGAAAAATCAGCCCCTCAAAATTATATTCATGACTTGTGATTAAAAACCACATATGCTAGAGATGATTCAAATAAAACAATATTTTCTCTTTCAGTAAAAACAGTATTTACTCTCACAAACGGTCAAAATTATAATTTGTTAATTATTATGGATCTTTCCCAGGTAAAGACCTAGCATTTCAATATAGTACCTATCAATTTTCAAATTTAAAAAATGAAAAAGATCATCAGTATATATGTGCTCAATTGCTTCTCAGATTGTTTCTTGGCACTTACAGGTTATTAATCACAATTACTAAATGAAAATCACTGGTACATTCTAAAACAAATTGCTAGCCCAAAGAATGACCATTATCACAGTACTGTGCAGGATATTCAATTGGTACCCTAAATAGAATGTGGAGCTTGTTACATAGAGAATATTACACACATTTAAATAACTGCATCAGCTTACTGGCAAGCACTTTGATATTAAAATAGTTCATCGCTTAAAACAAACTCCTTCAAAAGCAAAGCAAACTCACAGAAGTGCACAGAACAACACTGAGGATAGGATAAACTGATAAACAGCATAAATCTAGGAGCCCAGGCGCTCCAACTCCTTACATGGAACTCTCAGCTGAGTCTTTATTTCAGGTCTAGAAGAGTGGATGGTAGTTAAAATAAAACAAAAAACCCAAACCCACTACTTTCAAGCAGATTTCGACTCGTGGCAAGCCATGCTTGTCGGAGTAGAACTACACTCAGTCCACAGGTTTTCAAAGCTGTGACCTTTTGAGAGGAACCTTGGAGATGTACTGAGTTAAGCACTGGGCTGCTGACACCTTTTGGAAGCAGATCACCAGGAACCTCTGGGTGGGTGTGACCCACCAATCCTTTGGTTAGGAGTTAGGCACGTAGTTATCAAGGTACTACCAAGTAGGTGAGGCTCACCTTTTAGACAACCCTTTGACAGAATTAAGGTACTGTCTGAACGGTGAGCATAAGTACAAATCAAGAATTAAGAGTTTCCTCTCTTCCCTCTCACTCCCCTCTTTGGACAACTCAGCTCCCTCCTGTGGGGTCAGCTGTTCACAGCAGCCCCACAAAGCTGCGGAGGTTACAAATTATAACCAAAACGTTTTCTGCTTTGAATTTTCTGTTGATCCCATGTATTTTCCGTAACGGAAAGAAATAAACTTGGGGGCAATATGGATTTTGGTACAATTAGTAGGACACATACCCGGAGGCTTCAAAAAGTTTGTGGAAACATCCCATTACCTTTTAATGCACTTTTCTACCAATTTTCTGAAGCCCCCTACATGTCCCACGTGGACTCTGGTGGTAGGATTGGTGGGGTGAGACTTGTGTCGTCATGTTCATGCAGCTATCCACGCAGCTGGGTAGCATGTACTACCCAGGCTAAAAAAAAAAATTGTATATTGGTGGGTGATATATGTCCCACAGGTCACAAGAAGATTAAAGTAGAACTTGGGCAAACCAATTCTTAGGACTCTAAATGTAAGAAGCTTAGATGTAAGGTGTCTGGTTTTTAAGTACTAAAGCATAATTCCTTTTTCTGTGGAGGTCATTGAGAAAACCTGGTAGGATTTATGGGCCCAGAAAAACATGCCCAAACACATAAATGTATTAACATTTTAAATAAAATTGGAGGGGTTTCCAAGTCCTTTGTCAAAATATCTTCTCTTTTGATGAACTTGTTTCTCTCTTTAAGCTCTGCAATTCTATTTGTTTTAAAAAAGCAAATTATCTAAAATAAAACAACCAGGAGACAAGAGTCTGGGCTAAGGCAAAGACCGTGCCTGTTGTCCCAGGCTGACAAATAATTAACTTTGAAACTTTTGAAGCAACTCCTGTAATATGTATTCTGATGACATAAGACATTATTAAAATAGGAACCAAAAGGCACACATCAAAATGAAAGGCCACAATGAAAAAAATATTTAAACTGTATTACAAAGAAAGCATTGCCCCCCACCCGTTGGGATTAATACATATAACATTATTATTCCATATTTCAATCACATTAAATAGAATTGTAAGAAAGCATCCCTGTAACAAATACTTGGACTTCATGGGGAGACATTAGTTTCCATTCTTTCTGCATTTCTCATCGTGAATGAAGAGAACACACAGGACTAGTCTTAACTCTTTCAAGATAAATTCATCATTCCCTCTTCTCCACATTCAAATATAAGATCTACCACCAAAATTTCAGGTTGTATTCTAGTCCAAGGATATGGGACGAGTTGACTAAACAGGGCAATCAGATTATCTAATTTACTGGGTAAGTTTTGTCACTTCTGTCAGGAAGGAAAAGTAATGGCAAGTGAGCATGGGAGATTTAATGGGCAGCAAATACAGAGGATGTCTTGTGAGCAGCAAAAACACTTTCCAGGGGTTGTTTGTTTATTCCTGTCCTAAACACTGTTATTCCTGTAGACACATTTTCACGCTAGTGAAGGAAAAGATGGCTGATAGCTCAAAGTCACGTGAGAGCTGACAGAAGGAAGCGCAGAAGGGAGCACAGAGTGAGTGAAGGGGAGTCACTGCAGCAGGGAGCCCCCAGCGCCTGGTGGAAGCAAACGGGGAGGAGAGGTCGGGGAGGAGGCAAGAGAAAAAGGGCCAGGTCCTTTTGGGTTCTAAAGTGAGTTCCCAATCAGCCCACATGTGATCACTTTGGTCGCAAGAAAGTAGCACCAGTTTTCTCACTGCTGTTTTTCTATTCAGTGAAAATAGGTCACCTGAGTTCTAAGAAGATAAGTTCTAGTTATCTGTGCTCTGAGAACTTAAATTCTATCCAAGGAAACCAATGGGCTCGTTTTAGTGGAGGCAGTTTTTAAATTTCGTTTTTTCAATTATTTTTAAAGACCTATAGATTCTAGACATTCTGATTTTCTCTCAACTGGTCTTGCAAGGAGCCCTGGGGGAGTAGTGAGTTATGCATTTAACTGCTAACTGCAAGGTCGGCTGTTCAAACGCGTGAGAAAGTTGAGGCTCTCTCCGTTTCCATAACAGCTCTGGGTCAGATTCCACTGGAGGGCACTGGATCTGTTCTTGTTCTTTTATTTGGTCCTCTGGCAGAAGTTAGGGCAGAAGAGATTTAGTCAATACATGTGGGAACTGGATTACAAAGTAAACCTCACTGCTGTTAGTTGCTTTGGGGCGTCATCAAGCCAGGTCCGACCTCATAGCGACCCCACGTACGACAGAAGTCAACACTCCCCAGTCCTGCACCGTCCTCACAGTTCTTAGGTCGAGCCCATGGCTGCAGGCTGCAGCCCCTGGGTCACCCATCCCCGCAAGGGCCTTCCTCAGTTTCACGGCCCCTCACTTCACCAAGCATGGCGTCCTGTTCCAGGGACCGCTCTCTCCCGGAAACACTTCCAAACCACAGCGAGTTTCACGATTTTCAACAACAGGCGTTCAAGCAACCTTAATTGCTTCTAGCAAAATGAAAGTCCAAGAAAGGGAAAGAGAAACATAACATCCTAGTTCTGCTACCGACAAAGGCGTTCTCCTTCGCGCCCCCGTACTGCTCGTTCAGAAAGCCATTGTTTCCCAGTGAAAATAAATCTGTCGGGAGATAAAAGAGTTGGGCTGACACCCAGCTCCCTCCCGTGCGCGACAGGGAAGCCCCAGTTCAACGACCCAGGCGCGGACACCAGGCAAACCGCAAGTCCAGACCAAGATAAACAAAAAGCGCTTGGCAGTCTAAACACAGGCACTTTTGACCGATAACGCAGACAACAACCGGGCGCGGGGCGGAAGGTCGCCTTCGAAGGATGAGTGGAAGCGTCTTACGTGGCTGCCTCGGGTCTCTTAGGATGCATTTCCTGGACCCTGCAGACACGCTGGGTGGGCACTGGGGACCCAGGCGTGGGGCGATCCAGGGGTGAGGGCGCCCCGGAGAGTTGGAGGTGGCCCAGAGGTGACCCGCCCCGCCCTCGAAGGAAAGGGAAGCGGCCACTTCCTGCACTCCCGGGGCGGCGCGCCCTCGGCCTCGCAGCGCGACCCCCGCCGCCCCCTCACCAGCTGCGAGCTCTTGAGAATGCGACGGGGCCAGGGCAGCCGGCCCGGGTAGACGCAGCCGCCCAGGACGCTCCGCGCGGCCCTGGCGGGTCCCGGGTCTGCCTCGGTGGTCGGGCGGTACACTCCGTTCTCCATCGCCCCGGCCCGGGAAGGCGGCAGCCCGATCGCTGGCGTCGCACACTGGAGCCGCGAACGCGCACAATCTGCCGGGGCTAGGCGACGTCACTTCCGGGGCTCCGCCCCCGCCCCTGGCTGGCCCCGCCCACCACGCGTCCAGGGGGCTCCGCCCACGCATCGGCCGGCCCCGCCCACCGCGCACCCCGCCCGCCCAGCTCCGGAGTGTCTGCCTTTCGCCGGAGCTGTGGGTTCTTTCCAGAGACGGTTTACACATCCATTCATTCTTCAGCTCGCTCGGCCTTCCGTCTTGTACACCTCCCTTCATTCGGCTCCCAAGGGACTGTTTCAGTGCTGATGCTCCGGGCCTAGTGTGAACCCAGAAGGTCCGTAGGGAGCTGACATTCTAGAGGCGCAGACAGACAATCTGGCAGAGAAGATAACAACTTCAGATTGTAGATTGTTATTCTTTTCATATCTCACACGACCACTGTCATTCTGTAATCTACCAAGGGGGACCACGAGGGGGGGAGGGAGAGGAGCTGATCCCAAGGGCGCAATAGAAAGTAAATGTCTAGGAAAGAACGATGGCAATACATGTACTACTATGTCTGATACAATTGACGTGTGGGTTGTAACGAGAGTTGTAAGAGCCCCCAATAAAAATGATCTTTTAAAAAAAAGTTAACAATTTCAGATAGGGATATGTGACGCGAGGACAGTGTTGTGATGTGACAGAGAGGTGGATGCTGAAGAGGACGTCAGGAGAGGTGCGTCAGGACAGTGTATCGGAGCTCAGTGGAACCTGCACGAAGCGGAGCCAGGCTGGAGAAGACCAGGAGAGAGACTTCCTGCAAAGGGCTTGGCCGGTGCAAATGCCCGGGGAAGCAGAGAGCTCGGCCCGGTGCGGAATCTGAAGGCCAGCCGCGCTGGAGCTAAGTAACAAAGAGGGCGTGGAGATAAACGGATGAAAAGCGTAGGTAGAGGCCACAAACTGGAGGCTGGAAAACCAAGGGAAGAAATTGGATTTCGGTTTTTTTATTTTTATTTTTTCCCACTTTTCCAGAAAGGCTACCAACCATTGTCCTGAAACAGATGAATTGGGTCTTATCTTTTTTTTTCTTTAATCGTTTTATTAGGGACTCATACAACTCTTATCACAGTCCGTACATACATCAATTGTGTAAAGCGCATTTGTACATTCATTGCCCTCATCATTCTCTAAACATTTCCTCTCCACTTAAGCCCCCAGCATTAGGTCCTCATCT